GGAAGCAGCCTCCGGAGTAAAATCAGGTGCATGGCCATAATCGGGATAATCGTCGGAGACGTATTGGTTCTGGGATTGGAATTGCTGCTTCTGTAGTGCTAATTCTGGAAAAACTACTCCAGTAAACTTACGAAGGCCGGAAAAAGCAGCGGTTCATCTCAAGTTTAGAAGATATTGTCCTCGAACAGCTCTTATGCTACTTTTTTCCTATACGGGTGGTCGTCGAAGCTCCGATTCAAAGCTCTGACGATCAGCCGTCGAAGAAAAAAATGTGAAGTCAGCTGATGGTCGGAACTTTGGCGATCCGTCGCCAGAAAAAATAATTTAAAGAAAAATATATATACATATTATATATATGTTTATGTATACTTCAAATAAAAAAAGTAATGTGGACTTATATATGTCAAATGAAAGTTGAGAGGCTATTTTGGTTATTTGATTTTGTAAGGGGTTATGGCAAAAGAAAAAAGAGTGGTGGGCTTATTTGTAGTAAAAAAAAAATACTTTTATGGACCTATTTCTCATATAATTAAGATCTGACTTGTGATTTGATAAAATTAAGAAATCAATCCGACTTTTGACCGCGTGAATAATTACAACAATTAATTAATTCCTCTACTGTAATAATTTGACATTTTTACCCCAGCCGCCGCTTTACGTCGTTGGCATGCAAATTCCTCTGGATTAATTAATTAATTTACAGCTCAATCACAGAGTCAATCGAACCAACTTTTGAATTTTCCTTGCATGGAAACTCATAAATATGGAGTAATATTATTATCAGGAAATTTGAATAAGTCACATTTTCTTTTTGACATTCGACATAAAAATTTATTACTTTTTAGGAGTGATCTGATATTTTTTTCTATTTATGAACTGGAAATAAACTTCAACAATTTGTGACCATGCACGCAAAGCATATTCCCTTTATCAAACTTTCAATTTACGTGGCTGCGCAAGTCAATAAATAATCTGCATTTAATTTTGATTATATATGGAATAGATATATTGAATTGATAGAACAGTATTTTCGCTGTTCATTAAATTATATATATATATATATATATATATATATATATGGGTTTTGTAATTTACATGGCTTGTATATGCTTGTTTAGGGGTGTTCACCGGCCGTTAAACTGACCGAACCGCACTGAAGCAAAAATTCAATATTTTATGGAATTCTGTTACGATGTATTGTACCGAGTACTGAAATGTTTAATAATTGTTTATATAAGGTCTTAACAAATTATATATAAAAAATTAGATTGATATTTTTTTTCCCTAATTACAAATTAGCTTCTATTGATAATCACATTTTGTTTTTAGGGTAGATTGTTGAAATTTAAATGTCAAATTCAAGAATTAATTATTTTAAATATTAAAATATATTTTATTTTTTGCCGGAGCAAACCGAAAAAACTAAATTAATTCGGTAAAAAGCCGCAGCGAACGAATAGTTCAGTACGGTAAACACAATTTACCGAAATTCCAGTCGATTCGATACAAAATATGTAATTTTCAATTTCAAACCAATCTAAATATAATTAAACAATTACCTATTATCATTATATATGAATTAAATTAAATAATTTATAAATTTTAAATTAAATTTCCAAAATGAACATCACCATCATTTTTATCAATTAATTAATTTTAAATTAAAATCAATCGGATAGGCTAGACTCAATACTTTTCAAACAAAATAATTATATTGGCATTAAATGTTTGAAATAATCCACATCATTCCTATGACATATTCAAGCTAGATTTCATAAAAGATTTGTTCCCTCTTTAATTTAGTGGTGGGGGAGAATATATTCTTTTATTATTATTACTACGATTATTTTATTCTATCTTTTTTTTTTTTTTTTTTGCGGCTACGAAAGAATATTGATGGACGCAGGAGAGCCGTCGGATCGAAGGTGGCTGAAGGCAGTGGACGTGATTAAAGTTAAAAATATAGAAGGAAAAAACTGGATAAGAGGGAGAAAAATCGAATATGATATTTGATAATGAAATGGAATGGTCAAAGCTGGTCAAAGCTGGAGGGGCGGCGAGCCATCGAATATCCACTTGTAGATAAAGCATATAAAATATGGAGAAATTAGTGAAAAGCCCCTCGTTTCAAAATTGCACTGAGATAGGTCCTTCATTTAAAAATAATTAGTGGTAACCCTCTCTTTATATTTATTTGCGAAATTTAGATTACCCTAAGTTTTTCCGCCGAAAATTTGGGATTAAACTTGACGTAAATCGACTACGTTGTTTTTTTGTAGTTGATTAAAATATGAAAGCGGTATATTAGACCTAAAAATAATAAATTAACTGTAAAAGAAACATATTTGATTTATCAATCGACTAAAGTCGATTAGGTAAAATGTCACATAACAATACTAAAATCGATGGAAGAAAAATCGAATTGAATTTGACGGATGAGAGAAGCTCTCCCCCACGATGTGTTAATCGGGACCGTAGATGAGGAAGTTGCCGGTTTTATGAGAGGGTTGTTCAATTCTGGCGGTGGAGGTGATTTGATTTCCAGACTCCTTGACGACGGTGGAGTTTTTCGTAAAAAAATACATAATTGAGAAAAGTAGTTGTAATTACTAAAACAAAAGATTTTTTTCGTAAATAAATCTTACTCCGGAAGTTGGCCGTAATTTGCCCTAACTTAATATAACAACCCATGCATGCTTGCATATAAGGAGAATAGGCTTAAAAATATAGCAAAAGTTAATTTCAAATAAGTTGGCACTCTAAAAATATAATTAGGCCCAAAATTATTGAATATCAATCAGATTGGGCTCACGTAGGATATTTTAAAATAGTTTGGGCTTGCAAATACAGCATTAGGATTTCAGCAAATAAATATTAGCCCATGAACTTTAGGGCCTCTTCTAATGCCTTACTAGATTTTTTTGATTGCCCAAAAAATAAATTATTTTTCAATATAAATATTATGTTTTTAATGAAAAAAAAATTATATAACATTTCTTAGTTAACATTAAACAATAAGGGAAGGCTTTGCAGTATTTTAAATACAATGGGTTTATGTGCAATTATATCAAACCTCAAGGGTAGCAATGTAATTTACTCAATATCGATCAAGGTAAAAATGAAAATTGAAAAATGTCGATTGGTAGCTAAAATTAAACCTAAAGGGAGGTATATGTAATTTTCCAAACTATAATTATGCCTAACCTCAAAGTAGATATTTATAATTTACCCTGTCATAAATATGTAGTATCTAAACTTATGTTTAGATGCGCCCAAGTCTAAAAGCTCGTATCGATACGCCTAAGGGGTGTAAATTAATATTTCTAAGAATCTTGAATTAAAAAAAAAAAAAAAGAGATGTAAATGTAAATTAATATTTATAGATCTATAGTTTAAAATCGTCCAATATATTTCAACGAGCGTAGCATCTACAAAACCCGTATAATTCATGGGGCTCCATGTGTATGGATGAGGTGATAAGTTAATTCTTTATTCGTTTTTCTTTTTTCTTTTTGTTTTTTGTGGTGAAAAGAGTGAAAATCGCAGATCCGGGCGGTTAGGACAAGGGAAAATGAGAATACATGCGGCATAGAATAATCTTCTTTTTTTATTTATTTTTTATTTATTTTTTCTATTACTTTTTATTTTAATTTTTAAATATTCTAAATAAATATTTATTTATTACTCACTCTCACCCCACTCTCTCCAAACAAAATCACACCTGTCACCCCCTCCATCATCTTCCTTCCCTTTCTCTGTAAGCATTCTCTCTGAAACTTTTTCTCGAACACCTTGTGTGCATATAATCATTACACACACACACACTCAGCTACTGTGTGCATTAGGTTTTTTCTTTCTGATTATTTTGTGTTTTTTTCTTCAGTGGAGTTTTGATTAAAGATGGTGATGTTCAAGGTTTCCCGTGTCGAGACTACTCCGTTTGATGGGCAGAAGCCTGGAACTTCTGGTCTTCGGAAGAAGGTTTTGTAATTTTTGATTTATTTTGTTGATTTATCGTGCAATTCCTTTTTTGATTTGGTAACTACTGATTATGATTGGGAAGAGTTCGGATAATTATGATCTATCCTCTTGTTTGTAAAATGTGATAATTTTCATTTGCGAATCGTCCGTTTTGTTTTGATGATTTTGATCACGATCTGTTCTTGTGAAACATCTGTTTGATTTTTAGTGACTTGATCAATGATTTTTTTTGGGTATGATTTCTAATAACAGTTGGTAGATCTGATAAACCTTATATAAGTGTTTAACAAAAAATCATCGTGTTTGTGTAAATCTCTCACCAATGGGTGCTAGTTGATTGCATGATTGTATAAGTGTTGGCATAAATTTATTTTCTCTGTGAAAATCACTAGCCAAGGTAGCTTGCTGGTTGATTGCATGATGCTTACTTTATTCTCGTATCATATAGTTTTTAGACTTCCAATATTCCGTGTGAAATTTGTGGTTCAAGGTGGTTTCCGCAGTTTGTGATGATGTCATGAATGATTTGAAGTTTGATAACCAATTCGATGAAGTCCATTTGAGGCGTCAGCATGCAGTTTTACTGTTATTACAGATCAATTAATGTTAAGATTATGCCGTAGTCTTGCAAGATATATCTGAATCTTTTTTCAAAAAGGATATTCAATATAACTCTACTTTTACTTTGCTTGGTTAAGAATTTCACTGAATTGTTTCCAATTGCTGAATCTGAACAGGTTAAGGTCTTCGTGCAACCCCATTACTTGGAAAATTTTGTTCAATCCACGTTTAATGCCCTTGGAGCTGATAAAGTAACAGGTGCATGTTTCAGCATTTTCGATCTCTTCTTTCATTTTATGAGAATCAAGATGTTTTTGGTATGATGTAAGTTTGAATTAAGGTGGATATAAGATCATTAGAATTTAATCTACAAAGTACAAACATCATAACTTTGGTGTGACTGGGTTAGCTGTGCATGTAATAGGCATTTTATTTCGTGTTTCGGTTGCTGTTTTAGAATTATTATATAAATTACAACTGCACCAATGTGTTTTGTCAGAAACGCTCAGGAAATCAAGATCTCTTTTTACTGTATTCTTGCTTACTGAGCTTTCCCTGTCTCCACTGAATCTTTATAGTTTTGTCTGAATAATTGTGTAGGTGCAACTCTTGTTGTCTCTGGTGATGGCCGTTACTATTCAAAGGATGCTATCCAGGTAAGAGAATTCGTGTTTCTGATGACAGTCGTCATATAGTTTGTTAGTCTTGTTTATGCAAAATTACATTTTTTTATATTTATTATTTTATACATAATAGATATCTACGGACACCTAATAGTTGTATGAATGTATCCGATGACAGATCATTATTAAAATGGCTGCTGCTAATGGAGTGAGGCGTATCTGGGTTGGTCAGAATGGATTGCTGTCTACTCCTGCTGTATCTGCCGTTATACGTGAAAGAGTAGGCGCAGATGTAAGTAATCAACTTGATATGCTATATTAATCTGTCACCTCCAAATTTCTTTTTATCTGTACAATGACGTCTTGATTTAAATGATTTAAATAGTTATGAAATCATGAAACCTTCACAGGGATCCAAGGCAACTGGGGCATTTATTCTTACAGCAAGCCACAACCCAGGGGGCCCCACTGAGGTGCATGCCTCTCTCTCTCTCTGAAAGTTTTATATTAAGTTCTCGCCATTATTGTTGCTGGTTCCAAATTATCTTACAACATCTTGCAATATCTTTTGAAATCAAGAGTAGGACACTCTTGAAGAATACTCTTTTTTTTTCTATTCCACTAAATTAGTTTGTCACCATGGTGAAAGATTTTGGTTCCGAGGTTGACTTGTTTAGTATAAACACAGTCCCCACTTAGAAGAAATCTGATACTTGCCAGTTTGTCAAATCAAAATTTTAGATTCCCGATTGAAAAGCCAGTGAATTTTACGTTGGAATCCGTGTTACTTTGATCTATGATATAGTTAGTGAAACAATTCCGATTTTGCCTGCTTATTCAGATATTGCTTTTAGCTCTTTAGATGGACATTTGATTCTTATTTGTGTTCTTCTGTTTACCAGGATTTTGGAATAAAATATAACATGGAAAATGGTGGACCTGCACCAGAAGGAATCACAGATAAGATATACTCGAACACCACTACGATTAAGGAATACTTGATTGCAGAAGGCCTGCCAGATGTATGATTCTTTTTTCCGACTCCCACACACACAGGGATGTGCCCAAATGCATATGTTAGGAGTCATCAATTACACCTATTTCTAATGACATTTAAATGAAATTACAGGTGGACATCTCTATCACAGGCGTAACTAGCTTTGCGGGTCCTGAGGGGCAGTTTGATGTTGATGTTTTTGATTCAGCAAGTGATTATGTCAAATTGATGAAGTATGTTTCTTCATAGGATTGGCAAATAACTTTCATTTTCCCACTAACTACAAAATATATGCCAATATTTGGGTTATCCATCATTCCCTTGAAAGGCAACGTTGGTACCAAAAGGAGCAAATCTAATTTCCTTGAATATCTACATTATTTGAAAGTCAATTTTTTCTGTTAATGGCAATTCTCTTCATTCTTTATGTCTTTATATGTAGTCATTACGCCTTGCCAACATTTGTTTTGCTCATCCCTTTGCAGGTCCATTTTTGATTTCCAAGCTATCCAGAAGTTAATATCATCTCCAAAATTTAGTTTCTGGTATGCTTGAGAATCAACGTCGTGTTTGATATTTGGAATGCTTTTCAATTTCCTTTTCTCAAATGAAGCAAATATTGACTGCATCATTCTACTTTCCGTTGCCAGTTATGACGCACTCCATGGAGTTGGTGGTGCTTATGCTAAACCTATATTCGTTGACGAGCTAGGTGCACAAGAAAGCTCTTTGCTGAATTGTGTACCCAAGGTATAGTTTTTCTATTCCCAGTTATTTCTTTAATAAATAAATTTACAGTTATAATATTGCTGCTTTGGAATAATCATTTTCTGCAATTTATATGTACATTCATCCTGGCAGGAAGATTTCGGTGGGGGCCACCCTGATCCCAATCTGACCTATGCAAAAGAATTAGTTGCTCGCATGGGATTGGGTAAGACAAGCACTGAAGAGCCACCTGAATTCGGTGCTGCTGCTGATGGAGATGCAGACCGTAACATGGTCCTTGGCAAAAGGTTGACTTTCATGTTAATGTTGATTTTTTCAACGCCACTACGTTGTAAATTTTTATTTGATTTTTCAGGTTTTTCGTCACTCCCTCTGATTCTGTTGCTATAATAGCTGCGAATGCTGTCCAATCGATCCCTTACTTTTCTGGTGGACTAAAAGGAGTTGCAAGGTTTTGCTCTTGCTCTGTCTGTCTAAGTCCTTTAATCTTTTCGGTTTTATCTATATTCTCATCTTTTGTGGACTTCTGTCGAAGAAAAAATTCCAATCTCTATTTTTTTGGGTTTCAGGAGCATGCCCACATCAGCTGCTCTAGATGTTGTAGCCAAAAACCTGAATCTAAAATTCTTTGAGGTACTATAGTCGAATAGATTATAGATATATGTAACAGATTTTGGCACTGGCTTTAGAGCTAACTATGTTATTTCTGTTTAGGTGCCCACTGGCTGGAAATTCTTTGGCAACTTGATGGATGCCGGAATGTGTTCTGTTTGTGGTGAAGAAAGTTTCGGAACTGGTAGGATATTTATATTTTATAATAAGCGCTACTTCTACGGAAATTAGATATTCTCAGTGTTCTTGATTAGTTTTTATTCTAAATGTCGACAGGCTCAGACCACATTCGTGAAAAAGATGGAATATGGGCTGTTTTGGCATGGTTATCCATTCTTGCCTATAAGAACAAAGACAATCTTGGGGGAGAGAAACTTGTCAGTGTGGAAGACATTGTTCGTCAGCATTGGTCCACATACGGGCGCCATTATTACACTCGATATGATTACGAGGTATTTATGTAGGATATGCAGTTGATTCTGTTTAATGGTGTGTATTATTGGTATATGCAATATTATATTTTTGCCGAACTTATTTGCTAATTCGTTTTTCTCTTGTTTTGAAGAATGTTGATGCAGCTAGTGCAAAGGAACTTATGGCCTATCTGGTCAAGCTGGAATCCTCCCTTTCTGAAGTTAACGAGTAAGCCCTTAACAAAAGATAAAATCATGTACAAGCTTTTAACATGAAGTTAGCACAAAATCGAAAGGGATTCTTACTACCGTTCTACTAAACATGAATGCAAACAAACTCAAAAAAATCTACCACATAAGCATGCTCGACATTTAATTTGATTAATTCAAGATAAACCAGATTTGAGGATGGAAGAGTTTCTTTATATTTATTTTCTGAATTTATGGTTTTTATTGTCAAGTTTTTTTGAGCTTGGGATTGATAGGGACTGTAATTTGTGCTACCATTATTATAGACTTGACAGATCGATAATCTTTTTATTCAAATGCTCACACTTGTTTGTTATTACAGCATTATAAAGGGAATCCGTTCAGATGTGTCAAAGGTTGTCCATGCTGATGAATTTGAGTACAAAGATCCTGTTGACGGTTCCATTTCAAAGCATCAGGGCATCAGATATCTGTTTGAAGATGGATCCCGATTGGTAAATCATTTTTGCACTCCTAGGGATTATTTAATGAGAAATCTGTTAACTATGAAATAATTTTCAAAGAGAAAAAGGGGAAACGATTGGGTTTTTTATTTTGTTTTATGCCGAACAATGTTAGAAATCGCTCGAAAGTATTTTCATTCGCTGTACCACTGTAAATTTTGCAGGTTTTCCGTCTTTCTGGAACTGGGTCGGAGGGTGCCACCATCCGTCTTTACATAGAGCAATACGAACAGGATCCTTCGAAGATTGGGAGAGAGTCGCAAGACGCACTTGCTCCTTTGGTGAGTCATAATAGAATTTTACATTTCCTCTCTCTCTCTCTCTCTCTCTCTCTCTCTCTCTCTCTCTCTCTCTCTCTCTCTCTCTCTCTCTCACACACACACACACACACACACGCACACACACTAAAACTGAATTGGATTTATGTGGGTGAAGGTTGAGGTTGCGCTGAAGCTTTCTAAGATGCAAGAGTTCACCGGCCGATCTGCTCCAACCGTTATTACATAATTTTGAAGTTATTGGTGTGACGATGAAAATGTTGACATAATTTTGCTCCGAAAAAAAATAAAAAATAAACTGGGGCGAGGTGATCTTATCATCTCTTCAGCTCTTGTGTCTGGTGGTAGCCATTTTATGGAGGTAATATTTTCAGAACACTCTTTCTTTACTTATGTTTACTTGGGGCTTAATTTTTAGGCTCTTGAGAATGTATTAAGTATTCGCCATGTGACCCACACAAAGGTATAATATATATAACATATGGCTTGTATCGTATTTTCGGTTTATTGATGCCCACTTTCTTCAAAAATTTCTTTTCCTTTTCATGTCCATGTTTGTTGTTCAATTGTGTTGTTTAGGTCCAGTCAAATTATGAAAATATACCTCGCGTTTGAGTATTTACAAGAATACCCTCACCTATCAATCTTTTTACATGTCCATTTTTGTGGTGGTAAATTTAGTGGAATCATCTAGATCATGTGGAATATTCTTCTGTTCTACCCATTCGAGCTCTACATTTAGAAACAAGATGATGATACGTAAATATTCGTGTCTGGTAAATATCAAGTTGTGGTGCATCAGAAACTACATTTTTGCTCAAAATGAGTACAAATTAGAGAATATTCTACAGAATCTAGCAGTTTCTGTTGAATCTAGAAGTTTTTGTTGAATGTGACAGCCAAATGGTGGATGTGTAAGAAGATTCACAATGGAGAATGGTGGTTAATAATTAGACAGTGGCATCGCCGTAATTTACCCATAGTTTATAGTAATTAAAGCTTTCCCCATGAGCAGACAAATATGAAACAGGTACTTTGCCTTATGGGTGACCATTTGCATGCATGATTGGGGTTTATGACAACTCTATTACAGTTCCACACACACATATATATATATATATATATATATATATATATATATATATATATATATATATATATATATATATATATTTTATCTTAAAAAGTGCAAAAGGCAAGACAAACCCGTGACGGTGAACCCCATTAATTTTTATCAGCATTTATTGCATTTAAGCAATCAAATACATACAAAATTTACAAAAATATTCAATTTTGTTACATCTCCTTTTCCTTCACAACTGTCCTTCCCAATTTCACGTGCATGCCTAATATAAGCCAATCTTTCTTTTACTTGTCTCCCTCTCTTGTTCATAAAATTCCAAAACATAACCCTAACACATCCAATTATTAGTGTCATAATTATAAACACGTAGTTAATTAGATAGTCTTATGTTGTCACATCTTTCATTTATGTAGGAAATCACGGGTTCGAGTAACTGCTGCTTGAGTCACCATAATTTACATTCCTTATTTGGCGTAAGGAAATTCACGGGCTCGGTCGGAGTTGCGGGACGCAACATATTTAGGGCCATGCTCTCTATAAAGTAGTTACAATTTTATACGTTATTTTTTTAGTAGTTTAGTGTTATCGTCTCTCTAAAGAATTTCTTACGTATTAATTGGCGCCTGCTAAAATGAAATTTTGGCTCCATCTCTATGAGATAAGGAGTGGTTGATACATAAGTATAACCACCAAACACAAAATTTAAAAAACCAGGTCCAATCCTATTTATATGTAATAAGAGGTGGTAATTAATTTGAACGATCAACTAGCAAGTGACACATGCATTTATTTGCATTCGATTCGATCATATAAATTCAATTTATAACAAACTGTATATAGATTTTATATCACTAATTGAATTGATTTGAACTTTGAAGTTAGCATTAAAATTGATATATATATATATATATATATATATATATATATATATATATATATATATATATATATATATATATATATATATATATATTATAAACAAAATGTGTAATAAAAATACAAGCAACACAATTTGGGACTTTAGTCTTCTGTCCACACAACATGCATCGATCATCTGTATATCCAAAATGCAATACTTTCGTTTCACGCATGATCACCTTGCTTAATTAATTGACATTATAAATATTACAAATTGAACCCATACGTCAAAAGTACAGTTCATATTAACTAATTAATTAATTCTTATATAATTCCTTAATTTACGTACTGATGAATCATATGCAGTTTAGTATAACTTTCGCGTAAAACACGAAAGGTTATATACGTTATTGTGTTATACTGTAATCATCGTCTTACTAATAATCAAATAATGATCGATTACATTCTATTATCCCCAAAACAAGGAAACGATTAATAAGAATTAACACGTCAGCTAGTTTAATGAAAACGTATATACTATATACATACTTTGATACTATTATATATTTTTTCGGCATCATGTTTTTCGTTACGTATATGATTGAATATTTGTTAGGTTTGCGTTAGTTACGTTACTTTCTCCGAAAGCTTCTTGTATGTATTCAGCTTGTTTTTGTACATGTTTAATTTCTCCTTCACAGGCCCACGTTTGAACCCCAGTCGATTGTTTTACATTATAATCCGGTGTGACTGGCGTCGTCTTAAGCAAAATAATAATAATAATAATAATCATCAGAGGATTATATATATCCAAATACTGATCAATCGATGATTTAAATGTGTTTGGCAAAACTTGTAAGATATTTAAGAACTTATAAACTATGCCAAAATGTTTGCTATTTTTCTGTCAAAAAAGAACTTCATTTTTTTTTTTTCAAAAATAACTTATTATAACTCTTAAAACATTTTATCAGACGTAATAGCAATTATCAGTTGTTTCAAACAAACTTAGCCAAACATTCCCTTAGTTTCTCCACAATCTGAAAGTTGGTAATAAACTACAAAAACTCCATATTATATTATATAGATAATCCATAATTAATAAATTAAGTACACAAATACAAAAAGATAACAAAAACATACAAACCACCCCCACTCCAAACTTTTCAGTACTCTTTATATCCCCTTTTCACCAACTATATACACTACGATCGACACCGCACATTTTTGTACCAATAATAAAAATTAATTAATCTAAACCAATCAATTTTCTTATAATTATAAAAAAAAAAATAATATATTCTCGTAAATTAAATATTTAATTTGTTTCACGGGGAGGTAATCTTATCAACATAACTATTCACCAGCGCCAGCGCGTTGCTCGTCACCTTCTTCACCTCCACCGTCCGATCGCACACGTCACTCTTCATCGGACCGTCCGCCACCTCCTGCAATCCGTCCGTACACGTGTCCTCGTTCGTCAGCGCCGCGCTCATCCACGTCTGCACGTTGCTCATCTGGAACCTCAGCTCCTCTCCCCCGCCCCCGCCGCCGCCAGCCGCCGGCACCCGCCGCATCTGCTTCATGGAGCCGCGTATCTGGCTCACCGCGTCGCCGAACACGCTGAAGCAGTCGCGGAGGGCTGCCGCCGCGCGTGGGTCGCCGCCGCCGCCGAAGTACGCCTGGCGGGAGAGGTTCGCGAGGTAGATGGCCATGCCGGCGGCGCGGGAGAGGCTGACCCCGATGGCGGCGCCGGCGAGTCGGGCCGGGTCTTGTTGTACGGCATTGGCGTAGCCGGAGAGCGAGCTGTAGCAGACCTCCGGGTACAGTGTGGTCTCGCAGCTCGTACGGATGAACTCGGCCGCCGCCGAAGGGGCGGGTGCCGGTTCCTCGGCGGCGTACGCCGTGAGAAAGACGGCGGCGGTAAGGAAGAATAATAGACGTAAAATTCTCATGGTGTAGGCCGCAGTATTTAGTGCGTGTCTGTGTTTTTAAATATGTATTATGAGAAGATGGAATGGCGGAAGGGAGTTTATATGGGCAAATGCTGTGTGAGATGTGAATTGACGATGATACCCTTGTGAAAGGCGAGCGCATGTGTGTGTGGGGTTATTTTATGTTTTATTTTTTGGTAAATTGGTAGTAGGGCTGGAAAGTTATATCATTCCCAATTTAAAAATAGGTTCACGTTTTAGAACTAATCCTATTTCAGAATATTAGGTATATTAATCATTAGTATTTATTTTGTATTCTTTTTACAACAATTATATAATAGTGGGCCTATCTATACATATATATAGTAGTTTACAGTGCAATTTACATCGCTCGTGTGTTTTGCGAGCTACGTATATACGAGTAAAATTGAAGTACTCGATGCGCATTTGTGGCTTTGGGTTCGTTGTAAAATATATATGTTAGTTTTATTTCGTGCGAAAAGTGTGTATATATATATTAGTGTCATATTTGGTTTTTGTTGATGTTATTGTAGTTCGTGAAAACATAACATAATTAAAAACTGAATCCGACACAATTAATAATATTTGCACGAAAATAAAACTAACAATATATTATCGTTGATTTGAACACAATATGCATGTTAGCTCATACTAATATATTATATGTAGTAACTGCATTTGGTGATAGCTTTATACTAAGAAATGCAAAACCAATTGTAATAAAACATTTGAATAATTAAATTATAGTTTTATAAGATTTCAAAAATATTAATGGCTGTCTCTCTCTCTCACACACACACACACACACATATATATATATATATATATAATAACCACATTAAATGCATTATCTATGCACGACAAATTATTTGTGACCTTTTCTTTCATGTGAGCATCTATTTTTGGAATTTTATGTTGCAATCAAGTGGTGCAAAATTATTTATCTTTAATAAGAAAGTATTTAGTTGGACAGTAGAAAAAAATTAAAAAAATGTAGAAGCTTCTTTAATTTGTTTGTATATTCTGAGTTGTCGGATTATAAGATAACGTTAGGAATTCTGTGTCTGTTTCCAAGTGGAAAAATGTAAATATTTACACAAATACTTACAACCGTTTTAACTGCAATCTGTGTGAATCAAAATAGACCTGGCAACTAGACAAAATAATTCATAACTTGTGGTTGTCTTTTCTTTTTTTTTTTGTTTTCCTAAAGATAATTATAAAAAGAATATCAAATAATTAAACAAAATAATACTCTAGGCATCGTTTGGTTGTCGATATAATAATTAGCCAAAATAAAATTAAATAATTTAATGATAACAAAACTATTTTATCGGACCCAGTTTTTTTATCGGACTCAGAACGTCCAACAAAAAATCACCCTAAGAGGTAAGATAAACCATGATAACAAAATAATTGCTGGTCCACTCGACCTGACAAATTACTGAGAATATCAAATATGAAACAAAGTCCAATTATTTAGTTAATAATAGTAAATTTTTCCAACCAAATGAGGTCTAGGTCAATTGATTTTAAAATCATGACAATGATGATTTGAAAACAATTTATTTTTTTTTTCTTTCAAAAGATAGAATAATATATTAAATTGAAACTTGGGCTGGATCCAAATTGGAAATTTTAACTATTATTCTGATTGGTTAATGGACTGTATACTTTAACTAAATAAGGCAAGAGAAATTGGTGGCCCATAATAAAGAGGTTTAGCCCATTTATATTTTCACAATCCCACTAAATATCCGGTTCTACATATTTCAACGAACCGGCCAGGAAGGCCACTGGCCCACTACTTTATTATATATGGAGTAATTTTCACTTTACCCCCTCGTACCTCTATCTGAGAATCACTTTACCCCATCGTACTCTCAATTTCATCAATTTATCCCTTTGTACTTGTACAATTTTCCAATACAGCCATTTCCTTCAACTTTTGACAATTTTGACTCTGACACCGTTTGGTCAACTCTGTAAATTACAAAATTGTCATTGCCTATAACGCGTCGTTTCTCCTCCGTCAATATTGTCATTTCTTCTCCTCCCACCACTTCCCCTTCCAAGATATCCCCAAATTGAACCCCTAACTTAGTAAATCAAGACCCAAAAATTGATCGATTCCACCCAATGCAAAGAAAAAAAATATATGAATGTGTGAAACTTTCTCTTTTCTAATATCGAGAGTCAAAATCGAAAAAATTCAATATTTACGTCAATATTTTAACTCTTGACCAAATGGCGTCAGAGTCAAAATCAAAAAAAGTTGACGAAAAGGGTTGTATTGGAAAATTGTACAAATACAAGGGGGTAAATCGACAAAATTAAGAGTACGAGGGGATAAAGTGGTTCTTGGGCATAGTACAAGGGGTAAAGTGGAATTTACCCTTATCTATATAATATATAAAAGTTGAATTGCATAGCTAATTGATTGACATTTGGCAATTTTAATTGATGACATGTCCTCAATTTCATCCCAAGTGGCGAATTGATTGGTGGAAATAAATCATCAAAAAACATGTCATCATTTTCCAAAATTAAAGGTAATTAAATATATTTAATTATTTTATTTATCTATTTATATCCTACCATTTATAAAATGCTCTAAATATATCAACTTTCTTGGAAACCCTAAATAAATTTATTTTTGAATTTAATTTTATAATTAATTTAATTTGAATTTAGTTAAATTCGATTTAAAATCTTCCCTTATTATAATTGCATGATTGGCGGTGTTACGAATTTTTTTAAATTTTAATTCATAAAATTGGATTTATATTCAAAAAACATATTGCAGAATAAATTATTTGATATTATACATTTTACATGAACATGACCAGAGAATATGTATTTTTTTACTAATTTAATATTATATATTAATATTATTTGTAAAAAAGAAAGATACATGTTTGAATTTACTATCTTGCGAAAATTGACACTATTTGTTATTCCATGTGTAGAGTAATGTACTCCCAATTATTTACCATATTGAAAATTATAATACATAAATTTCATGTTATTATTTAAATAATTATTTTTTCTTCACTGATTCCAGTGACAATAAAC